ACCCCCCCCTCTCTCTCCACCGCTTCCCCCCGCGCGCCGCTCTCTCTTCTGTCCCTGTCTCACCTCGACCGGCTTCTTCGCCTTCTTCTTCCTCCTCCACCCTCCCCGTGCGGCGGCTCTTACCCTTTCCGCCCTGGTGCGACCCCGCTCCCTCCGCCTCTCCCGCCCCCGCTCCTCCTCCTCCTCCTAATCCCTCCATGACTTCCGTCCGTGCGTCTAACGATGCATTTATGAGATCGGTGGAGAGCAAAAGATCTGAAGGTTGGTCAAAGAGATCGTCATTTTGGTAACCGCGGCGGGACAGGAAATGATAAAACGTACCTTGCGTAGGACTGATGCTTGGTGAAAAGCGCGCTCGGAACCGGTTCTTGTAACTTTCGAAAGTTTCAGAACATGCGCACACTTTGGGACCAGCCAACCCAGCTACAAGCAAATGTAAAGCTGCGTCACATTCACATCAGCCATTGCTGTTTCCCCTGCATTAGACACCGCTCAACATTGTTGTACCCATTTTTACGTATGCCCACTTGCTACAAATGTACAGGGGTACATGGAACAGCAGTCACATGACCAGGATATCCAAGATCTCGAAGGAGGGGGGACGCAGCATGTCAAGCTTCATGCTCGATCCACTATCCACCGCCGTAGACCAGCCGTCTTGGGTAAATACGCAAAATATGTAGCCATACGTACACCGGCGAATGCGAATGCACATGATCTTAGAAGGACGTGTGCCGTGCGTACAGCCGAACGCGTAGGTTGCAATGGCAGCAGAGTTACCCAACTGGTACATGGTTCACGCGGCCGAAAAAGTGAACAGCGGTGACCCAGGTTGTCTGCGCGGCAAAGGGCTAGCAAACACAACACCGTAGTGGATCGCGGAGGCCCTAAGGGTGCACAACTCGACCCTGGATTACCTGTTGTCTCTCGGTGTATGTGGAAGATGTGGGCGTGAACGTCCTGTGCAGTCAGCAGTGTCCGCCCGCTCCACGATTCGCGGGGGGCTCACAGATGAAACAAATGAAACTTGCTATCCCAGGTGAACGCGTCATTGTGCCCCCACGACGTCAGTGTTTCTCCCTCACACAGCCGTGTCCTGTGATGTGTGTCCACAGCCCACAGTCGCAAAGGTGTTGCTGGGCAAGGTTAGATTCTGTTGCTTCCGTGCTCCTCCTCCTTTCTTCTTCCCGACGCCCTTGCTGTGCCGATCACCCTTTCCTAAAACGGCCATTTGTGGTGCGTGCAGCAAGCACAGCAAGGTCGCAGGTTGTTGTACAAAGCGGGGCAATTGCACGACTGCCTGTGAGTGAGTGAAGGTGTGTGTTTCGGCCAGCACGTTTTGGGAACCCGCCGACAGCGGCAGAAGCAGAAGCAGCATCATGCTTGCCTCTGCGACAGAAGTGGAGGTGGAGTTGCACGTGCCGGATGACGTGTCGACCTTCTTTGGGGTCACTTGGGCGCAGGACCCACGGAAGAATAAGGTGTGTGCGGCGAGGCGGCCGGTCAGTCTCTTTCGACCGTTGCAGAAGTGGGAGTGTGGTTGTGCACGGGTTGATACACGTACAGCAGGACAGCAGTAGTACGACCGGCGAGGGCGGCCGTTGTTGGCGGTGCCTGTGCAAAATCCAAGACGTCGCTGCTGTGACCGCATGCGTTTGCGCTTTTCTATAGTCATGCATCCGATCGCTGTGCGTGTCGATAGTAAAAATGCTTGGTATGCACACCAATTTCGGCATACTAAGTTTAATGTAAGTACGCCGAGAAGTGTAATTAGCTTCATAACAACGGAAGCGAGAGTGTGAGGCTTATTATTTTTTGTTATTTTTCGTCCCATCTCTGGCGCCGCCTGCTTACTCCTCTTCGGTGCACACTACACGTTTGCCGCGTATATGTGCACTTACACTCCTCAGCGTACTTGGTACTCCACAACTAGCTAGACGGACCGTCCAGGGTCACACAGGAGGGGGTACCCACGCGTGAGGGTCTAGAAACGTCTGCCCTATACTGGACTTTTCTGAATCTGCTCAAGTCCTTACCGTGAGAGTACAGCAGTGATGCCGGCCGAACAAAGCCTTTCCAATGATCGGATATATCATTAGCGTGGCGGTGCTCAAAGCACGAGAGGCACTGACCGCAGGGGGTGGGGAACATCATTTGCATGGTGCCCCCCCTGCTTCTGTCTACTTCCGCCAAACGTCTCGCCACTAAACCATCTGTATCACAACAGGCGGCTGAAGCATTCCCTCGGCCCCTCTCTCCCCGCGCGGGTGCCTATCGCATCTAACCCATCGCAACACCAAACCGGACACTCCGCCCAACCAGATCTTCATCAAGGCCTTCCCTCGAGGCCCCAACGGACGGAGGGGGATACTGGAGTCGACGGGCCTGGTCGAGCTGGACGACTGCCTCACCGCCATCAACGGAGTGCCCATCGACAAGTCCAGCGCCCTCCATGAGGTCATGGCGAGCATCCGCGCGGCAGATTCTCCCCTGTCCCTCCGGTTCGCGCGATACCCTCCCCCGCCCCTGCAGCGCTGCTCTCCATCCACCTCCCTGTCGTCGGCGTCCTTGTACTCCCCCTCTCCCTCGGCCCCCCCTTCGGGGGTGGGGGGGGGAAGGGGAGCGCCGTCTTACCCATCCACTGACTCCCTTAGCGGCGGCGGCGGCGNCCCCCTGGGGGGGTGGGGGGGGTAAGGGGAGCGCCGTCTTACCCATCCACTGACTCCCTTAGCGGCGGCGGCGGCGGCAGCATCGGCCGTCTCATTGGTTCCGGAGAGAACACTGGCGGCAGCAGCGGCGGTGGCTCGGGCGGCCTCGACGCTTCGGCAAGGGCAGGAGGAGGAGGAGGAGGAGCTGGAAGCAAAGAGAGAAGAGACGCGGCGGACCCCGATCTCGACGCCGTTCTCAACAGCGCGCTGGTTCTCGGGCTAGATGAAAGGGTTGCGGACATTCAGAAGCGAAATTCGCGGCTGCTGCAGGAGGTGGACCGCATCGGGCGAGCAGCTGCGGACAAGCGGCAGGTGCGGAATCCGCGCTAGCCTAGAAGTGTCTCGTAAATCTCTGCCGGCTGCCTGCTGATATATCGTTTTTCACGCACGTCCTGTTCAGTCGGTGTTCACTTTCTCTTATTTTTTTTTTGGGGGGGGGTCAGCCAAGAGGCACCGCAAGTGAGGCAAGCTGGAGGTACTGGTTGTTTGTACGGACGGGGCGGTATGACACCGACATCACTGGCGAGGACGAGAGCGTTGGCAATCGGTCTTTGACAGACGCCCCCAACTTTTTTCCCGTCTCGTCGACCAGAGCTGTTGACGCCTCCTCGTGTAAAGTTGCTCCGAGCGTGTGGTGCTGGCGTGCGTTTGGCGGCGTGGCGCAGTAGGACCGAACCCCTTTGCTGCTGCTGTTGTGTCCAGGTTTGTCTACCGTTCCTACCCCCTCGCCGTCCAAGCTAAACGGAGGGTTTTGACAGGTCACGCTGCCCACGCTGACGTCTATTTGTTGTCGGTCCTCTCAGTTTAACGTTTTGCGGTTGCTCTCGCCCCTTGACTACGTGTGTGTATCCTCTTCCCCTAACCGGTTCCTCTCCTATTGCCGGATCGAAACCGCTCTCTGCACCACGACAGGGGGTGGAGAGGGTCGCGTCCGCGGCGGCTTCGCTGACGGCGGCGGGGTCGGACCTCCTCCCTCGGCGCGCTCTCCGGTTGCTATCGGCCGCTAGGCAGGACGCTGTGGCTCTCTGCGAGGCGATGGCGCGGTTGGACGAGCTGCTGGCGGCGAGGGAACGGGCCCAGCTGGCCAGGCGGCGGGCTCTCGAGGAGGAGGAGGAGGAGGGCGGGAGAGGAGAGGTGGGAGGGATGATGTCTTCAAGGGGAGGAGGCCTTGAAGAAGGGGGGCGACCAAGACGATAGCAGCAGCAGAACAGCAGCTGCTGCTTTTGCTTTGGTGTAAGGACGGTGCCGGTGGTGCTCAAATGGGGAAGGTTGCGTGCAAACTGGTGGTCGACGGCCCTCAGTCGGGATGTGACGGCTCCATGGGGCGGTTGCTGGTGCCTCGGCGCTTTGCGCAATTGGTGGTGGTGGTTCTGTGTGGAGCTTGTAATTGTTTGGGTGTCTTGCCTGTTGTGCAGTGGTGGTGAAGGAGGTGGAGGAGGTGGAGACATCATGGTCATTGTCGTTTATAGAATACGTGGCCGTGAGTGTGGTGGTGCGTTGGCAGGTGGGCAAACGGGATAGGAGAGCGGGAGGGTTGTTGAGGTCACCGACTGATAGACTTACCGCGGTTTGTGGCCGAAGTGCCGTATTCCCCCGGGTACATAAAGTGAGTTTTTTCTTAAATTTATCCTGGTCTAGGATGAAAGCGACGCGCTGCAAAGCTCGTTGTTAGTAAACCATAATCGACTTCGCAAGTCGCGAGGGAAGGGATTGCTGTATCCTTCTCGCGATTATTTACCTCAGGCAGGAACCGCAGGAGGGGGTCCAGCCCCCCCCTCCTATGTGACCCCGGTTGGGTCGTGTAACTAGAAAAAGTGGAGGATAGGGGCCAGAGGGGCAGACGACAGAGTCCAATGATGGGAGAAAAAAGCTATATATATAGCGTGGAGTACGGCCTCGGAAGCCTTCTTGTTTCATTCATGATGGAGACGTTTCGAGTGTTGCCCTACTTTCTGTTGCAGGGAAACAGTACGTAGCTTTCCCCGTCGTGGAGGATGTTAGCCAGGTTGTTCGCGCGTTTTTCTTGTATTGGTTTGCTTCTTCTGCTTTACAGTTCGGGCCGTTGAGCCTTTCCCCCTTCCGTGTAGACTAGAGATACATTAGGTCGAAATTTATTTTATCAGTCAGGTTCACTTTGAACATATCGCACTCAATCGCAGTGCATATTTGGCGAAGATTGTGGTGCGTCTTTCTTTTGCAACAGGGCTTTGAGCATTTTGTGTCTGGGAGTCTGGTGTTTCCTTTTCCGCACATGCGCCTGTTTCTCTGGTTCCTTTGAGCGAACTGGCAGTCAACATGACACACCCATTTGATGCCATCAGGTTGTGTGTGTTGCATGCTACAATTCGTATTCGTTCTCAACACCACGACCTGCTGTAGGTCGCATGAGATGCCACACCCTGGGCCGACTTTCAAAGGTCGATTACTACACGACGAAGAGGATGCTAACGCCCCCACATTAGTATCGTTACTGCTGTTTTCGCTGCACAGCAGTAATCAAGCTTTGCACATCGGTCCACGGGGGCGTGCTATCTTTCGTCACCCTTTCCGAGGCTCCACGCCGAACGATCATGATTCTGTCCGAGGGAACCGGCCAAATGAAAGTCGTGCACTTCTGTCTCATAGATACAGCAGTAATGCACCTCGGATCTCGGGCTTCAGACTAACCCACTTCACTGGAACACGACCCAACGGCGAGGAGTTTGACCACCCCCGTGGTACCCTCCATTTGTGTTTTCTATTTGCAAAATGAAGAGAACAATCGGATAGATTCGGCCAATCATCATCGACCCGCATACAGCTCCAAGCATCATTTGCATCGTTTGAATCAACAGCGCGCCTGAGGCATCCGGCTCTCTTCTTCGCCCCTCACACCAAGGCAGCCAGAGGTGCACTTGTCCAAAAGGATAACCGTTGTTTGTCGAGCGTGCCTCGGGGGGAATCTGCGCAAGGGAGGTCGAAGGCAGGATGAGGAAATCGAAAACGACGGCCGCTGGTTGGCCCCTTTCGCGGCGGCCGTTGCAATCGTCCTCAACAACGACACCAGCGGCGCTGCTGGCGACCGCGTTGCTGCTAGGCTGCGCCGGCTCCGTCCTGCCTTCGGCGCGCGCAGCAGCAGCAGCAGTGGGCGGTGGTGGCGCCGCCCCTTCCTCCGGGGTGCGGTCTGGCCGGCCCTCCCACTTCGACGATGAACGGGTTCCCTTGCTGCCGCCGTTGGCTACAACTACACTGGCGCCACGCGGCAGCCGAGGCGGTCGCAGCACGCGCCCTTCCTGGTTCGTTGCTCGCCACACCCGTGGCGGGGGCCTGTTCCGGAGACGTAGGGGCGGCGGCAGCAGCAGCGATGGCGGTACCGAAGAGGATGAGAAGCAGAAGGGGGGGGGAAAGGAGGGGGAGGAGCAAGAAAAGGAGGCAGTCACAAAGGGCCTCGAGGCTGCGGAGGGAACAACGGGCGGCAGCGGCAGCTCCGGGGATGAGCAGGAGGAGGAGGAGGGAGCGATGAGCGACGGCGGTGGCAGAGCGGGCGAAGAGCAGGTGTGTCTGTTAGTGATGCATCCGCCCGTCTACTTCTGCTTGAGTCCGAGAGGACAATGAGGGAGTCTGTCTTGGGGTTAGCGGGGGGAAGGCCGCTTCATATACAGCAACAAGAGGACATGATACTGCTGTATGTAACTGGCTGCGGTCGTTTTCTATGCATGCATGTACCGCATCACCACATGATAAATTTCGACTCCGTTGCGGTTTGCTGCACCATGTGCATCGGAGCTTGAGTCGCTGCAGTGGAGGGTACAGCTGCATTGCAGACTTCTGCTCTTGGAGCTCAAAGAACAGTAAAGTGTTCGGTGCTTACACAGCGCGTCCAAGTCACCATATGATGCGTTATGTACGAAAAATGTTACGCTGTCACCCAGCAGTCCGTGTGGTCTTCAGCAAGTATTATGGTAAACCATAATCGACTTCGTAAGTCGCGAGGGAAGGGATTGCTGTGCCCTTCTCGCGATAGAAATACCTCAGACAGGAACCGCAGGAGGAGGTCCAGCCCCCCCCTCCTATGTGACCCCGGTTGGGTCGTCTCGCTAGTAGAAGTGGAGGATAGGGGCCAGAGGGGCAGAAGACAGTCCAATGATGGGAGAAAAAAAAAAAAAAATGTGCTGCAGCAACGCATGCGGTACCTGTAGTGGCGGGCATTCAACGAGCGTTCGAGCCTCAACGGCCGCACGCACACACTACAAACGGACGGTGGTCTTCCTGCTCGTCACAGGCTCGTGCCTTCCGTAGACTGGGATTGTTGCTCTTGTGTTACATCGGTTTTTCGGCGTGCAAGCACGCGTAACTAGCGGGCGAGAGAGGATCTCACACGATCTTTTTTTTTTTTCTTATTTTCACACAACAAATCCATCTCTATCTATAGAAATACGTCTAAGATAGATTAGCAATGAATCCATACATGTAGCGTGAGCGAAAGGCTACCTGTACGTCTACAGTTTCCCAGACAGCATACAACGATAACTCCCCTGTGGGTAACAGGCTCAACAAGGCAGTTTGGTAGCCATCTTGTGTATCAATCTGTATGTTATGTTGGGAAGTTGCAGACGGAAGATTTAGGGGATTTCGGTTTGTCGGGTGTTCTATTATTGCACCCTTGTGTGGTTGCGGAGCAAGCGCGTTTCGGGTTGTGTATAATTTCGTCACCAACCTATTTTTTGTTTGTAATGTATGGGGGCATGGCGGCGCGGGAGAACATATTTACCTTGTGCGTGTGTGTGTGTTTTCGTCCTATGTGTAATGGCATGTCGTTCCATGTGAGAAGGGCACGGGAGAACATTATCTCATCGTTGCCTCCTGACGTGGCTGCCGATTGCGTGTGCGGCAGCGCTCTCTGCCGTTTCTCTGTAGACAGCAACACGACATGGTTACACGAGCGTGTGGAGAGCGATTGGCGGTCGGATAGGCTGTTTGCTGTACCATCAACGCGAACTTACGCCGCCAGCTCGTCTTGAAATTTCGAAAAGTGCCGGCGCGTACTGCTGTTGGTCTTGCGCCGACTCGGGTTTGCATATACTCCCTGCATTTGAGCAACAACACCGTGCGCTCGGCGCGGGTACTTGAAGTAGTCGTTGGGTGTGCTATTGTTTGTTCAACGCGGGGGGCAACCGCGGTCGCACAAATGTGCCCAGAATGGCAGACGGATTCGCGATACAAGCACGAATATCCCAGTTTTAGTTGGCTGTTGGTGATGCTGAATTCGGTGCGTGCGAAGACGTGTCTTGCGCGAAGCCTCGAACGGAACCGGTAAGCGCGTGCGATGGGTGCTCCACCCATGTTTCAGGGCTAACGCGTGTCATGACTAATGCGGTGTTGTGCGGAACTCTGCCGTTTCTGACAGACGGCCTCGTGAACACAACCCGTGGTGTGTTAAGGTTGTTCATGCCGGAATAGGCGTCTGCCAGTATCCACGATATAGTGTTGTTCCGTGAGGGAGCCCACAACCTGCTATTTAGTACACCACGACAACCCCTGCTCCATGCATGCAGCAGTACATTTCCCATGTCTCCACTACATTTACCATTATTTTATGCCGATCACGCAAACGCATTTGGCTGTACACGTAGGGCACACTCACTCAACGCTATTCCACCACCCCTCACCCCCGCTTGACGGACATGCCAGGAGGATGCCGCGTTGGCCAGCGGCGAGGGCGGCGATGCTTCAGAAGAGAGCGGAGACGGTGCTGTCTCGGGGGCACCGGCGGCAGAAGGGGACGAGGACGGGGAGCGGGGAGAGGAGGAGGCGGCGGGCAGCGAAAACGAAGGAGGGGCGGTGGCGGCAACGGAAGGGGAGGAGAGGCGCCGGCCCGTCGCGCCGCTGTTTTCGTTCCCTCCGGGCCCGAGGGTGCGCCGAACAGAGGCCGAAGATAGCCTTCAGGTGAATATTGACACCGGACATAACAAGGGTATCCCTCTCCAGCGCGGCGGCATGAGTGAGGGCGGGCATAGGTGCCGATAAGGGGCAACGACGAGGGCGTGAGAGGACGTACACATCTAGCGATGTGCTCTTCATTGCATGCCCGTCGCGCCTGCCGCTTCCTGAAGAGGATTGTGATGACTGCTCAGATGGGGTCTAGGTTCATTTATCCGCAAGGTCGAGGTAATCATCGAATTAGTCACAGGAGAAGCAAATCAGCGGAGCAATTATATGCACAGCAGTAAAGTGTAGGCACGGAGATAAAGCACGCAGTAAAGCTAGACGCCTTCGATCGATGTTCGATCGATGTTGGTGTCATGCCCTCCAACCTCAGCAGTTGGCCGCAATCATTGTATGTGTGGTTAGTTAGTGCTGGCAGCAGGGAAGGTGAACGGTATAACGTTGATGGTAGCACCCTGGATTGTCCACGTGTGGTTACGAAAACGAGGACGACCCAGCGTAGTATACACCGGCCAGAAATACACACGTTTAATTTAACAACCAACTGCTCTCTTGCTCGCCTCACTCAACGTCATCATCCGACTCATCAACTCTCTTTAATCAGGAGGTGCTCCCCGTGCAGCAGCGGCTGGTGAAGTACCTGACGGAGGACAGGGTTTTCGGCGTCCAGATCTTGTGCTCGGTCTACTTCTTCATGAACGCGGTGAGGGAGGGACTCGGTCCGTCGCTCGAGGGAGGCGCCATGCGCAATCCCGTTTCCCCCTGAGTTGCACCGTGGGGAACTTTTTTCGTTTCTTTTGTTTCGATAGCGGGAATTTCGCCCGCTTGCCGCAGCCCCCCACCCAACAACAGGCACGCCTTAGTTGTGCTGCTGGTTTCGTATCATGGAACTCCAAGATTGGATGTGAACGTGTTTTCATCTGTATGTGCAGCCATGCCCCCCCCCCCCCCCCCCCCCCCCCCCCCCCCCCCCCCCCCCCCCCCCCCCCCCCCCCCCCCCCCC